TGGGTGCTGAGCTTCATTCACCGTAGGTCATTGTCTCGGTCAGGCCGGTCCTGGATCAGCCAGAGGAGGTCAAATCGGGAAAGCAGCGCAGCAGGAAGCTGTATGTTCTGCTCCAGGCTGCGGCGGGGGTTATAGCGCCCATAGGCAGGGTTGGCAGCAGCCAGGATGGAGCAGCGAGCATTCAGTGTGGTGAGAATGCCCGCCTTGGCAATGGAGATAGTCTGCTGCTCCATGACCTCGTGGATGGCTGTGCGGTCAGCCTCCGCCATCTTGTCAAACTCATCGATGCAGCACACGCCCTGGTCAGCCAGCACGAGGGCCCCGCCTTCTAAGGTCAGTTCTCCACTCACAGAGTCCCTCAGCACGGCTGCTGTAAGCCCCACTCCTGAGGAGCCACGTCCTGTTGTGTATTGGCCTAGAAGAGAGGAAATAAGCAGACTTACTTAGGGAGAGAGGAATAAGGAAGGGAAGGAGTATAGGGCAAGGAAGCAAAGACAGGGCCAGTGAGGTGAGGCCCATACTGAATTGCTCTGCCCTCTCAGCCTTTCCCAAGATGGCTAAAGATCTGTAGGGTGCTGGCAATACCTCCCTTCCCTTACCACCAACCCTCTCTAAGAACTACTCTCTCCTCCCACCCCCACCCTTTGAATAAACAACACCGTGGTCCTATCCCACCCAAGGTATGATTACTCACTGCGAGGGGCCAGGCGATCGATATAAGAGAGGAGCTGAGACTTGGCCACACCAGGGTCCCCCATCAGGCAGATGTTGATGTTGCCTGGAGGAAGGGAAGGAAGCCCCTGAATAACTATTCTCTAAAGCAACTTGTCCAACAGAAAAAAAACACTTGGAGGTCTGCCTCGCCTCCCATACCGCTACTCCTAAGTTCTCCCCGTGCCCATGAAGGCAAGATCCACTTTCATTCTTTGACCCATAGGGATACTTGCCCACAGCATCTTTTTTCCTTCCAAACGACTCAACCCACCCCATGTTTCTCTCTCGTTCTTTCTTCTTACCCCTGATTTTCATGCCTCGAGGAGACTGGTCCACACCTCCCACTAGCAGGAGTAACAGTGCCTTCTTCACATCTTCATGCCCATATATCTCTGGGGCGATAGAAGCTGCCAGCTTTTCATAGAAATCCTCCTCTGCAGAGAAGTTAAGATTAGAGTATTTTCTGGAAAAAGGGCTGAGATGAAAATCAAATTCCCAGCCTTCCCCCTGGCCCCTCACCTGCAATCTGCCTCAGCTCCTCCTTGCTCAGCTCTCCAGCCCCAAACTCATCATCATCACTCTTATTCATCTTCACAATCCGATGGGCTTCCAGGTAAGTTTCTGAGAGTAAACCCTTGGGCAAGAAAATGCCAGGATATGGATGAAATCCTTTAGCTTGCCCACCACCTGATTCCCTAATGATTTGACTAATGATTTGACAAAACCCTTTGTTCTGTTTGATGTTTTGCTGTGTTAGTTTTCTCTGCGGGAGGTAGGGAGATTGAGTGGGCGAGGGGAAAGGGGGACTCTCTCCTCCTTGTTTCAAACTCCCCTTCTCACCTGTACCACCTGTCGGAACCCAGTGCGCAGGACTGGCAAGAAGATACCAGTAACGCTGACGTGGTCTCCAGGCTGGGCAATCCTCGTGTTCTCTCCTTCTACCAGCACCGTGATGCTGCGAGGGATGTTTCCCACGGGCACTTGGTCACTCTAGGAGAGAGAAGGGCAAGGAGAGAGAACATAAGGCCTGTTAGGACCTGACCTTTCCTCCTTAAACATCCCACTCTAAGACTTCTCAGTCTGCCCAGCCTCAAACCAGCCTACGGGAGCAGGGGAGATGAGACCTCCTTTACCTCTTCCCAACTCAAACAGAAAATTCCAGGTAAACCTCCCTCCTGCTCTAGGTGAGAGATTTTCTGCCTCAGCTCTGTCTTCCCTTCTCTTGTTCTTTCTTCCTGCCACTCCACAAGTGACTATAGGATTCTAGTGGACTCCCTGCTTCACCTGCCCAGGACCACATATCCCAAACTCACATGTTCTTGCATCTTCATCTCCTGGAATTTAATGAATTTGGAGCCACGTGTCTGCAGATATAGCCGCCCTCCCGAGCGGTTGGTTTGGCACTCCTGGCTTGGGCACATGATCAGAGGCATGAAAGTAGGAGACTGGATCTAGGAATATGAGAAAGAAAGCAACAAAAGAAATCAGAAGGAAAAGAGCCCCTTGAATCACATTTCCTCTTCATGACAAATATCTTCAAAATGTCAAGAATCCCTTAAACTATTCTGGGTCAATATGACAAACATCAAAAAAACAATACAGGAACAAAGACCGCTACATACCAGAGAAAGAATGAAAAGCTAACATGCAGGCATCTTTTGCAAAGTAGAAAAAACAAGCACAAGTGCTTTCCTGTCCCTCGCTCCACACGTACCGGCTGGTAGGTCTCTGCTCCACACTGGTCACAAGTGTAAGTGGCCACCACCATTCTGGGTTTGACTTCAGAGACTCGAGTAACGATTCCACGTACAGTTACCAATTTCCCTACGGAGTCAGCCCGTACTTCCCGGATGACACGAGGCTTGTTGCTGCTTGGGCCTTGAAAATACAACTCGCTAAGGGAAGAAAATAGTCATTAACAAAGTCCAGGAGAAAACAAATGCCTACATCCTTCCCCAGAGAGACCACTCACAATCTGCGCATGAGCTCAGCAGGGTATTGGTTCTGGGGGCTTCGCATTGCCCCAGGGTCCCTGCTCCGCTGCTCCATCATCAGCCGGTGCTCAATGTAAACGTCCAGGACATCTTTATTCACCGCCTAAAAAAAAGAAAAAATGAATGGCAGAACAGGAAAAAGAGAGCACAGTGCCAGACAGAAGTCACTATCCCTCCTTTCTGCCAGCTCAGAAAACGTCACTATCTGAGCAGCTTCGTGACAGAAGCCTAAATCCCTTGCCCTGTTCTCCAGCCATTTACCTCCCTCTCCTTGTACTGAGGCAGCAGCTCTTGTACAGCATCAGCAAAGAGCCTTGCATAGCGCCTGGCATTCTCACAGATCGAGTCCACCAACTCAGGGTCATCCTCAGCTACGTCATCCAGATCCACGTACAGTGCCACCTGTTCCCGATGAGCCAGCCGAACCTGGGGTGGGAAAGAGACAGCAACACCTCAGAGCCAAGTTAACCTTGTTCACCAGAATTCACACATCACTGTGAACTCAGAGGACAGGCTCTAGACACCCACAGGGGGAGAAAAAGCAGCATCAGACAGAGCAATATTCACTTCTCAGCCCCCAAACCCCTAAAAGCACTCTAAATCATTTATGAATATACTATACTACCGTATTCACTTACTGGATATCATGTGCTGTGCTAAACTGTCACTTACAAACAAAATGTAATTTCTGAAACAAGCTAGACCACCTCTTATAACTCCTTAAGCACACCCTGTTCTCTTCACCCAATCTTACACTTACCAACTGGTTCCCATATTTGAACTGCTTCTTTCCAAATTCTTCATCTTGGTAAAACTCTTGTAAGAACTTCTTAACCTTTTCTATAATGTAAGTATAAAACCATGAGAAACAGCCTTTCTTTCAGATATTGTACTGCAAATCCCTCTGGTAGAAATAAAAAACCCACTTTCACTTAAACACAATCTATGAGATACTTATTACATGGATATTTAAATAAACCTACAAAATTGTCCCCAAAGTGGGCAAAACTCCTTTTCACAAATCCGTTTTTACCTAGGGAAGCGTAAGGGGCCCCGGGCAGTTAGAGTACTACCCAACACCTTCCCCCCTGGGGAATTCCAGTCTCTACCTGAGTTTAAAATCCTAGTACCCTTCCCCAGTGGCCTCCCACACTCTACAACACTCTCCGGTCTCAAGACTCTCAGCTTTCCCTCCACCCGTACAGCTCTCCCTAAATCGTTGCTCTCGCCGGGATCTCGGCCACTAGGCCGGTCCTCCACCCCACCCCCGCTACCGCCAGTGCTTCCGCTCTTAGTAAACAAAGAAGCACATGGGCCCAGATTCCAGCCGCCTCACAGCCCAGGATTCCTCCGCCAAGGCGGGAGCCCGCCCCGCCATTGGCCAGCACGCTGAGGGCCTCTCCGTCCCTCCCCACTGCCGCCGTTCTCGGCCTCGCGCTAAGCCCCCGAATTCCAGGCACGCCCCCACCCTCAGCAACTCTCTCTGAGGCCACCGCGCGGAAGGACACTGTTTACACACGACACTGCCTCCAACCGCGTCGCGCCACTTCCGCCCGCCTCCACTTCCGCTTTGAGGGCGGCCTGAAGTGGCCAATCCTGGCGCTCAGCGGCCCTGGGCTGCCCGCCCCCGGGGCTTCGGCGCGACTCGGGAGGACGCGGGAACTCGGGAATGCCCAAAAGCGCGGAGGGAAGAGGTCCCAGGGTCCCCATCCTAGGCCGTAAGCCCTTAGACAGGGTGCGCGTCTCTCCTGGGTGCGACCCTCCTTTCTGCAGCCCCCCAGCAGGGTTATTCCCATTCTCACGACCACAACACCTTTCCTGGGCAGGTTTACCAGCTCTTCGACCCCGACGCCCCCCGTGCGCCTCCCATGGACCGTCTGTCTCAGCTCCGCCGCCGCCCGACCCTGCCTCTGGGCGTGCGCGCCCCATGGCCCACCGACACGGCCCCCTAAGACCCCAGCTTACATCCACAGGTGTTAGCCCGGAGGCTTCCCGCGCAGAACGCCCCTCTCAGGCTTGCAGACCCTCACCTTTCTCGAGCGCGTAATCCTTAAGTGCCATCGCTGCCGAGGCGTGCAGCAGCAGTTGGCGGGCTCAGGAGTCTAGCTCCTGGGGAAGCGGAGAACGTCCGCGCGCTGGACTGTGGCGGACCAACCGAAATTGGCGCGAAACGTCGGCCCCCACGTGACCAGCGCCACTGCGTTTGGGCCAATCGGAGAGGACGGCTCTCCGCCCTCCCCATTCGCCGCAGGCCCCAGCCTCGGCCAATCACCAGGCGAGTCTGGGATGAGTGACGGGAGGCGGTGGAGGTGTCGGGAGGGAATCGCCGGGCGAGGCGGGGCTGGCGCCGGGTTTCCCGCGGTCGGTGCTGGCGCGGGCGGAGGAGGATCGCTCTTAAAGGGCCAGCCCACGCGCGTCCTTTTGTTCCGGGGCCGCAGGGCGGGGCAGGTCCAACTTTCGCCGCCTTCTTGTTTACTCTCCAGAACGGCCATGATTTCCCAGTTCTTCATTCTGTCCTCCAAGGGGGACCCGCTCATCTACAAAGACTGTATCCTTGACCCGCGGGGCCGGGCGGGAGTAGCGCCCGGAGCCAGCCCCTGTCGCAGGCTCCTTAACTGTCCTTCTACCCGCCAGTCCGGGGAGACAGTGGCGGCCGGGATGTGGCCGAGCTCTTCTACCGGAAGCTGACGGGACTGCCAGGAGATGAGTCCCCGGTTGTCATGGTAACTACTGGGGGCGGGGGCTGGCGGGGGGCGCCTCCTCCCACCCAGGACTGGTTCTTTGAAAGCTTGCGCTGGGGAGACACCTAGCTCCAAATTAAGCTAGCGAAAGTCCATCGAGCGCTAACAGCATACCAGGTACCGCTCCATGCGTGTCTCAACCCTCAACAACTCTGGGGTGGGTGCTATTATCAACCCCATTACACGCTGGGGGGAAGCTGGGCCTCAGGGAGGGTTCAGGTGTCACCCAAAGTCGCACTGCAACCACGACTAGTAGGGGCACTGGGATCCGAGCTCGCGACCCCTCTCTTTTCTTAACGCCTTTCTCCCCGTCTGTGTCTCAGCACCACGATGACCGTCATTTCATTCACATCAGACACAGCGGTCTCTATTTGGTAGCCACGACTTCAGAAAACATTTCTCCCTTCAGCCTCCTGGAGCTGCTCTCCCGGTGAGGAGAACTGGCCTGGGTGCCTGGGACTGCGGGTGTGAGAGGAGGAAGACGGGGATATGCACACTTGGCCATGTTTACTCAGGTTGGCCACTCTCCTGGGCGACTACTGTGGCTCCCTGGGTGAGGGGACCATTTCCCGCAACGTGGCTTTGGTCTACGAACTCCTGGATGAAGTGTTGGTGAGACCCACAGATTGTCTTCTCTTGTCTGCTTTTCCACTGTGGCCGGGAGGCTAAGTCTACTCCTTTTTCACACCGTCTGTCACCCCTCTGGCCACCCGAATACTGTCCTTTCTTCATCACTAGGACTATGGCTATATACAGACCACGTCCACGGAGATGCTCAGGAACTTCATCCAGACGGAACCCGTGGTCAGCAAGCCCTTCAGCCTCTTTGATCTTAGCAGTGTTGGCTTGGTCAGTAGGAGGAGGACGAGGGGGAAGGAGGGTCAGTCGGAAATGTCAAACCTGAGGATTGATTGCTTTGGGTGCTTTACAGTTTGGAGCCGAGACACAGCAGAGCAAAGTGGCCCCCAGCAGTGCAGCCAGCCGCCCCGTCCTGTCCAGTCGCACTGACCAGGTGAGGGAGAGATGGATGGGGTCAGACCCTCTGGCTTTTTTCTGGGACCCCAGAGTCCAAGATCCCAGCATATTTTCTACCTTCCCTAGACATGGACATCCTTTCCCTCACTTCATGTCCCCACCCCAGGGTTCTGGCATGGACTTCCCTGTCCCTTCTGCTTGTCCATCTTAGAACACAAGCCATTCTGCCTCCAACCACCCAAATCCCCTCTCTTTCTCTCAGAGCCAAAAAAATGAAGTTTTTTTGGATGTGGTCGAGAGACTGTCTGTACTGATAGCATCTAATGTAAGTTTGGGCTCCCAACCCTGGAGCTGAGGACAAATGGGATTTGGGAAATGTGTTAGGAGGGTCAGGACTTGGGCACTGACCTCGCTGCCCCCTCAGGGCTCACTGTTGAAGGTGGATGTGCAGGGAGAGATCCGGCTCAAGAGCTTCCTTCCCAGCGGCTCTGGTGAGGAATCTATGGGCTGGGCCCAGGGCTGGGTTTGGGACAGGCTGCTTGGTGTCACGTGTGGTGGTGTTTGCTGACCTTTCCTGATGTTCTTTCCTCTGGTAGAGATTCGCATTGGCTTGACAGAAGAATTCTGCGTCGGGAAGTCAGAACTGAGAGGTGAGAATGTGGGTCTTTAGAGTTCATGGAGAGAAGGTAGAGACAGATTGTCTCTCTTTTTTCTGTTCTTTTTTCCTGAGATATGGGTCAGGAGAAGAGCCCTTCTCTCTTTCCAGGTTATGGGCCAGGAATTCGGGTTGATGAGGTCTCATTCCACAGCTCCGTGCACCTGGATGAGTTTGAGTCTCATCGAATCCTCCGCTTGCAGCCGGCTCAGGGCGAGGTGAGGCTCAGGGTGGCCTAGCGTATTCTGTCCACCATGGGGAAGGGAGGCAGTGCAGGTGTGGGGAGACCAAACTGACCTTGCTCCTCTCTGGCCTCAGCTGACCGTGATGCGGTACCAACTTTCTGATGACCTCGCCTCCCCGCTTCCCTTCCGGCTCTTTCCCTCTGTGCAGTGGGACCGAGGCTCAGGCCGGTGAGACCATTTCCTGTGTTCCAGAGCTACCTTGGAACCCAAGCCAAGATGTATATATTCCCAAGACTTACTACACAGAGAGTGCTAGTAATAGGGTGCAGATTGGAAAAAGGCTTGCCTAGTGGAGTTAAGCTGGATCTCAGCCCTTCTTCTTGGGGTACAACCTACACAGCCCTGCATGGAGGCCCTGGGTGGGGAATGGTAAGATGCCAGTAGGATGTAGCCTAAGTAATGGTATTTTACTCTCTCATCCAGGCTTCAGGTTTATCTGAAGTTGCGATGTGACCTGCCCCCAAAGAGGTAAGAGTTAGGGATCGGCCAGGCCTAGTTCATCTGTGTAGGGCAGGAGACAGACCTGCTGCTGCTTCCTTCAGATGCAGCCCCATCCTCAGAATCCAGTTTGGTTAGAGGCTCTAATGTTTAGGAAGCAGGGGATATTTGTGCTGAGCTCCCGTTGTGACATTTGAGAGGAATGGGGACAAGGGACTGTGCCTTTCTGGGGCTGACTTTGCTCCTTTCTTCTCTGCAGCCAAGCTCTCAATGTCAGGCTGCACCTTCCCCTGCCTCGAGGAGTGGTCAGGTTAGTGTGTGTGCTCCAGGGGAGCTTCCTCGGGGAGCACAGCACGGGGCAGAGAGGATGAGCTGAGTACAACTGGCCTGGCCCAAGGAAGGCACGACCGAGCCCCAGCACCTTCCTCTCCAAACTCCAGCCTGTCCCAGGAGCTGAGCAGCCCAGAGCAGAAGGCAGAGCTGGGAGAGGGAGCCCTTCGCTGGGACCTGCCCCGGGTGCAAGGAGGCTCTCAACTGTCAGGCCTCTTCCAGGTATCCGCTGTCGACCCTCTAGCCCCCTCTCCTCTGACTTGCAGCCCCTCGCCCTGCCCTCCCCAAGCAGTTGCTGCCTTGTTCCCCAGTGTGGTCAGCCTACTGCCTTCTGTCCTCTCCCTTACCTCTGCTCCTCACAGATGGATGTCCCAGGCCCCCCAGGGCCTCCCAGCCATGGGCCCTCCACTTCAGCCCCTCCTCTGGGGCTGGGCCCTGCCAGCCTCTCCTTTGAACTTCCTCGGCACACATGCTCCGGGCTCCAGGTTCGCTTTCTCAGGCTCACCTTCAGACCCTGCGGCAACGCCAACCCCCACAAGTGGGTGCGACACCTAAGCCACAGTGATGCCTACGTAATTCGGATCTGAGACTCGCCATACGAGGATGCCAAGGATGCCAAGGCAGCGATTTGTTAAATGGGAAAATGACGATCTTTTCTGGCCTCCTAGCCTATGGCACTGGGTCGAGGCAGGAAGAGTCCTGAGTCTGAGTTCTGAGAGAGCAGGGGGGCTCGACGGACCCACCCCTTCGTGGTATCCAATGCAGGAAGGACTGAGGTGGATCAGAACTTATAAACCAAGCTTTTATTCTGAGGAACTGGCTGTACAACATCTAAAAAAATGATGTGGAGGAAGCAGCCTACTATTTCCTTCCACCCCACGAGTGTGCGTGCGTGCGTGTGTGTTGGGGGGAATCCGGGGGCTGGAGGTGGGGCATCACGGAGCAGGCTGAGGGGAGCCAGAGCTGGGGGGCTGGGAGCCGTTAGCCTTTGGAGTCCCTGGAGCTGGAGGGGGACTGTCCCCAGCTTCCTGTTTCCCCCCACAGAGGGCACTGCCCCCGAGCGGGGAGGGGGATGACGACGGGGGAGGAGCTGGAGAAGGGTGGGAGGTGGGACCTCCTTTGCCCTCCCCTGTAGGGGGTAGTGAGACCACGATGTATTTCTGGACGCTGCCGGGACCAGAGGGAGCAGTGCTGGGGGGTGCGGTGGTGGCCGTGGAGACCAGCTTGACGATAGGCTGCACGCTGGGGACTGTGGTGGTGACGGGAGAGGTGGTGGTGGAGCCTGAGCCGGGGGCTGAGGTGCTGAGGGACAGGACCTGGGCAGAAAAGAAAGGCAGTGCCCATCACCTTGTGTCCCCCATGCCCCAGAAACCTGGAGGTAGGAGCACTTGCTTCCCCCCAGATAATCTGTTCCTGTCCTTGGGTCTCTGTAGGCTACTGCAGCTCAAGGCCTTGCCCAGGCTGGGCAGCTACAGCCCTGCAGGACCCTGGCACGTGCCTGTCCCATCTCCTGACTTTGGGCCGGAATGGACTGGTGCTACTCGGGAGCCTCCCCAGGGTGCTCTGAGGTGACCGGGCCCCTCGGGGTGCTCCTCACCATCTCTCACCCACGCACCTGTTGGGTGGATGAGGCGCTGGAGGATGATGACATTACAATAAACTTGGTTGGAGGAGGGGAGGGCTGAGGCGGGGCAGTAGCTCGCGCAGACACCAGTGTCTGGACAGGCAGTGCGATGGAGCCAGGGACCTTCAGCAAGCCAGGGGTCCGAGGGCTAGGCTGAGGGGCCTGCGAGAGGGTCAGTGTGGGCCGGGGCTGCAGGGAGAAGAGGCAAGAGGAAAACGTCAACATCTAAGAAAAAGAAGAACCTGAAGGGAGAGGCCCGGACTCCCCTTGCTCTTCCTCAGTGCAGCATCAACAATAAGGGGCTGAGACGCCAAGACCGCTGACGCCGGGCCTGCATGTGCGTGTGTCTGTGAGTGCCTGTCCCGGTGGACACCACAGCCTTGTCCCACCCCCAGGTGCTCCTTCCCTTCATCTTAGCCCTCCTCCCTACTCGGCCACTGACCTGCGTGATGGTCAAAGTGGTCCTGTTGACCTGCTGAGCCTGCAGAGCGGCCTGGGCCCGGGCCTTGACCACATGGGAGCAGAGGAGGGGCCCGAGGGACCCAAATTCTGCCCGATAGGCATCCTGATTGTCAGGCGGTGGGCGCAGCTTTGCCAGAACAGGGGCACAGTGCTTCTGCAGAGAGAAGGCAAAGAAAAACCAGGTGGAGGGAGGCCTGGTACTCAGAAGAGCCGTGGGGAAGGGGTGAAAAGGTGACACTGATGGAGGCCAGACTACGCTGGGCTATTAGTGTGTGTAAGAGATACTGCGGTTTTTCTTCATGAGAAAACATGGGCACCAACTGCTATAGAGAACTTGCCAAATACACGGGTGATATCTATGGGATCGTTGGTCCAGAGAGCATTTGCCTTTCAAAGTGGGCCATATAATGATGCAGAGGCAGCGGGGCAGTGCGGTCTAGGAGTCATGACCCCTCATTTCTTACTTAGCCTATTTGTGCCTCAGTCTTTGCATCTGCAAAATAGGTTAGACTCTGAGGTATGCTCTGAATACAAAGATGGAGCGAGTGAATAAAATAGGCCGTATGCATGCTAAATACCACCTGTGTGTGTAGGGGGAGGGGTCGTTGGAAGGAGGAGGGCAGGGGCGGGGGCTTTGGTCACCAGGAGGAGGCTCTGCACGTGGTCTGCTCCTATCCGGTCAATATTGCTCAGCACGGGGCCATCCAGGACGCTGCGGATGCGCTCCCCTTCCTGCTGCAGCCGTGGCAGGATCAGAGTCTTAATTACCTGTTGGAAAGGAAGGGAAGAAGCCAAGCCAAGAGCTCACCAGGGGTCTCTTGGGTGGGGAGGTGTCGCCTTCTGTAACCTCATGACCACCTCCCCTCCCCAGTTTCTTTCCCCTGGGGCCTAACATCATGTCCCAGCTCTGCCAGGCCTGCAATGGAGCCGTAACGAGTCGTCCAGGGAGTCTTCTCGTCCACCCAGCTCTGTAAGGGAAAGGAAGATAAACCCAGATGAAGAGGTCTGAAAGGCTAATTGTTAAGAACCCAAGTCTTTCATAAAGACACTTTCCTTGCAAATCACAAGACATTACAGACAAGACTCAAGGCCCGCAGACTCCCCACTCCCAGTCCCCCTTTCCTCTGCCCCATTCCCATATCATCTCCCCCAGCCACAAGTGTCCCGCCATTGCTGTAGGTGATGCTCTGATCCTGGGAACAACCCAGGGGTGGTGGAGAAACAAATGATACCTGGTAGATTCTCCTGGCTTACCTTGGTGAAGGTCTTGGTGATCCGGGACTGGATGTTGTTAGTGGTGGTGCTGAAATGCTTGCAGATCTGGGCCACTAGGCGGGCAGCAAAGTCTCGAAGTGCCCAGTGATTGTCCACATCTGGTCTCAGGCATAGCTGTCTGCTCACAATGCAGGTCATCACAGCTGGAATCAGCTCATGCACCTAAGGGAGAAATGACAGGTCAGCTGATTGTGACAAACAGCTTCCTGTTGGTGGCAGCAGGGTCCCTGGACTCCAGCAAGAGAGGAGGGTAGGCAGAACCACTCACGTATTTTTCTAGATACAGTGTAGGGTTGTCCATCAGCGCCTTCACCATGCGCATCAGGTAGATGAGCAGGGCCAGGTTGTTTTGAACCACATTCACACGGACCTAAGGAAAGGAGAAGTGATAGGGCAGAGACATCCCTCGGATGAGCTGTCCCTGCTGCCCCTGTGCCCCTGGAACCTCATCTTCTCACCCCCTCTGAGATGAAGGTACTGAATCGTGGCAGCATCTGGTAGAGACCCGGGTCGGTAGCAATGCTCTGCAGAGCTTCCTGTGGGAGGAGGGCAGCCCGTGAGGTGGGGGCAGATATCCTGGGGAGGAATTCTTGGGGCCTCCGAGGGGAGGAATCTCAGGGTAAGGGCAGGCGGGGGGCCTCACTGCTCTCTTGGCCTCACAGGACCCCACACAGGCCTCAGTGATTTCTTTGTAGTACAGCTGCTGCTCCACAGACAGCTCGTGGATGCTTCGGGGCTTCAGTCGCAAAGGGGCCCCCTCCAGCAAGGGTGGCGCCTTCTTCTCTTTCCCTGCATGAATTGGGGAGGTGGGTTTGAAGAAAAAGCTCCAGAAGAAGCCTCAGGACCAGTCAAACCTTAACCCTCCATTCCTTCCCCAGCCCCCACCCAGGACACCTGGCTTCCTCTTAGCCTGCCAGATCCTTTCTGGGATGCTCTGGCTCTGAACTCATCCACTTTATAAATGACCATCTGGCTCTGGGGTGAGTCAGGAGAGGCCTGGCCTAGATGTACTGACCTTTGCCATCAGCTGGGGTGGCACCTTGACCTTTGCCTTTCAGGGGTCCATCTTCCTCCTGGCCTGGCTTGGCTGACTTTAGGGGTTCTGTGGCCTCGGCCTTCTGCTGCTCTTTGGGAGCTGATGGGAAAGCAGTCACAGTGGGAGGAGTGACAAGAGCGGCAGGAAATGTAAAGGAAGGAGGAAGGAGAGAAAGAAGTGGGTAGGCATGGAGAAGATTACCTGGGGGTGGATTCTCAGGGATAGCTGGCTGGCAGCCTTCGATGCTCAGCCAGTGAGCTGTGAGGAAGGAAGGTGTCAAGTTAAATCGCTGAACATGGACACCAGGGAGTCACTCCACGCTAAGGAAGGTGTGTTTTCATTCCTGCTCCCTTTCTTGCAACTCACCAGGGATTTCACACTGAGGTTTTCCTCACACCCACATGCATCACTCCTTTCCCTCCTCCCTGCCACCCTGCTCTCCTTTCCCCCAACCTTTGAGGCAGACATCCAGGGGAACCCGGGGCAGAGGGGTATTGATGATGTCGCTCAGATCAACCTCCTTCTCTTCATAAAAGTAAAGCTCCCGTCCCCCACCAGAGGCGAAACGGAAAGGAATGAACTCCTGAGCGTGGAAGCCATAGAGTGGCTGTATCAGGAGAGAGAGACACTGGGGTGAGAAGGGAGCCTGGTTGGAAGCACATGCAGCATCTGGGAGGATGGCATCTCACCACCCCGCTTCCAGATCAGTCCTCCAGCCCCTTCCTGTCTTTCCCAGTCACCTCGACATTCTTTAGCTTCAGTGCATAGTCAATGTCACTGGTGGTGAGCTTCTGCCGCTTCCCCATGTGCATGAACTTCAAGGCATCCTGGGGGAGGGGGTGGGAGAACAGACGTCAGCCCAAGACCCTGACAAAGGGGGCCCAGGCAACATTCTGAATAATGCAGGGCTGGGCAGAAGGGCCAGGTCACCTGTGCGATCTCCTTGATGCGGTAGCTGACTTCATCTGTCAGCAGCTGGCAGGTCTCCTCCTGAATCTGGGCGATGCCCATGGACTCAGCCACCACCTTCATTGACTCCGAAGGCAGCACAGTATTGCTGAGCTTCAGCTTCTTCTCTTCAGCCATTCTGGAGTCTCTCTTCTCCCCAGAAGGATGATGCCCCAGGGTGGAGAGACAGAGACCCTGGGAGGAGGATGAGGCAGGCAGAAGAAATAAAAAGAAACATGAGACCCAAAGAAGAGGGACCATCTACTTGAGAGAGGCCACAACAGAGGGAGGACAATGGAGATGGAAGGAGGGAAGTAATGTGGGGGCATCCTCTGTCCATCCCCATGTAAGTCAGTCCTGAGTTATAACAGAAAAAGACAGAAATTTGATCCAATTCACTGTGATTTATTGAGCACTTATTCTAGGCCAAACACTGTACAAGTGAGGTATAGTAGAAGGAACACAGACCTGAATTTAAATCCCAGCTCTACAACTACCTACCTGTGTTACTTGGGCAAATTACCTGTGGCCTTCTAGGTCCTT